AGTAAGAAGTCAGCCTACAGTAAGAAGTCAGCCTATAGTAAGAAGTCAGCCTACAGTAAGAAGTCAGCTTATAGTAAGAAGTCAGCCTATAGTAAGAAGTCAGCCTATAGTAAGAAGTCAGCCTACAGTAAGAAGTCAGCTTATAGTAAGAAGTCAGCCTATAGTAAGAAGTCAGCCTATAGTAAGAAGTCAGCCTATAGTAAGAAGTCAGCCTATAGTAAGAAGTCAGCCTATAGTAAGAAGTCAGCCTACAGTAAGAAGTCAGCCTACAGTAAGAAGTCGGCCTAGAGTTAGTACAGTAAGAATTAATCAGCCTTATTCTAAAATAACGAAAATTTAAAGGTATACGAGTAACAAAATCTGATTTCAACACATGTTAATTAGCCTTTCGCACGATGACATTTTTGGGAGGCATCTAATCAATGCAGACAATTAAAACAATGTGAAAAGCAATTTTTCAAAACAAACTAACCTTTTACAAAACAAATTTACCATAATTCATCCAAAAAATTATAAAAAGTCGCTGTTATGTGGACTTATCTAGCAGACTTCGGCTGAAATGCCACCCAAAATTATGGCGGCATGAGAAAGGCTAATTGGAAATTTGTACTTTTGTTGTCTCCGGTGTTGTAATTACAATTCAATTAACATGCGTTGAAATAAGATTTTATTGCAAGTTGTGGCAATTTTGTTGCTCGTATTACTTTACCTTAAGAGGTTAAACATACATTTTTTGCCTGTTTTTTAGAAATAAAAAAACGGCATAAAATATATGAAATACTAAGGGTTAGCCTTTACGTTTTGCAATTTCCCCCCGCTTTTTCAAGAGCAAAAAATGGATGGAATATTGAAGGTTAGCCTGATTGATCCGAGTATTCTCAAGAGCTGACAAATCAATTAAATCATTTCAAGAAATTGACACATCGTAATAGTTATAATGTAGTTCTAAGCGGAAAATATCAAGGAATTTTTCTGCGACAACGAAGTACGAATAATATTTACATAATAACACCAACGTTGAAGTTTTTGCTCTAGTGTGAGGACTTGAATTCTAATCCACATATCCTGAATTGCAGCAAGTTTTTCTTTTAAAATTGGTGTATCTTTCTGTTCTTACAACCAGCATTCTCTGATGATTTATCTCCTGCATTTCTGTATTCGGCTGTAAATAACACACCTGAAAAAAAACACATTTTGAATACTTGAACAATGGAAGACACTTTAGGAAATATTGGGGGGGGGGGCACGAAAATTTTTAAAATTTGGACCATGGAAATGGCATTTGCAGCATTCTGAGAAGTGATAACACATTTTTTAAAAAACTAGGTTTTCAAAACACTGTTTTAAATAATGTTATTAAATAACAGGGGCGGCGGAACAGAGGGGGGGGGGGGCTTAGCCCCTCCAGGAAATTCTGTTTTTTCTGGAAAAATTTTGATAATTAAGGAAAAATTTAGGGTATTTTTTGAAAATTTAGGTATAAGGGTAAAAATTTGCTATATTTTGTTTAATAATAGTGTATGTCCGGAAAAATTTTTTGTTATAGGTCTGGAAAAAATTTTTTCGTCCCTTTTCCTGTATATGTCCGGAAAATTTTTTGTACCTCTAAAATGGTACACTGACCGAATTTTTTTTGGCGACGGGGGGTGGGGGGAGGGGGAGGTCACAGAAAAAAATTTAGCCCCCCCAAAATGAAATCTGTTCCGCCGCCCCTGTTAAATAACAATGTTTTAATTATATGCATAGACGGACTTTCATATTTTTTACTGGGGTGGTGCCAGAAATTTTAGGGGGGTGAGCCGTGAGCAGGTGACTGAAGCAACACAAAGTGTCACCACTTAACCCCAGTAAGGTCTATATTCTAGGGGTGGAGCACTAGATCCGCAAGGGGGAGTCTAGAGAGCAGAAAACAAAGTATCCCTTGAAAAAGTTTTAAAAAATCATGATTTCTAGCTTCGAAAAAACGTTTTTTGAAGTTGTCATATCAATGGATTTGGCATGTCCGATTGTCTGTTGAGATTTGAGGGAGTTAAAGTTTAATGAACCTGTAAAAGTGTAAACCCAATAGGCCAATACACAATATGCTTTTACTTTTATAAAGTCATTGACACTGTACATGTTGTTTGAATCAGAGTACAATTGATGATGCAACTCCGATGTAAATAATATTTGGGGCGTAAAGATTAAATCTAGGCAAGTCTATTTCCTAAAAGAATTAAAAACTAAAAATAATGTTCATAAAAATTCCAAACGTTCTTTGCAAGCAACTCTATTCAGGGGAGATAATAGTGTTTCAAAACTTTACAATTGCTGCAATAAACCAGTGAATGCAAGCGAGGAGCGATTAGTTTCAAAGTATTGCACTGTCTTTTTCTATTTGAGTGTACTCCGACGTTTCTTTTGTATCATCAACACTCTGCATGTTGGAGTGGACTATTTAATTATTTTTTATTATGCCGAATATTGGGGGGGGGGGGTAAAAATTTTTTTGGAGGGGTGGACATTTTGTTTTGGGGGGTTATAGCTAATATTGGGGGTGGGGTAGCACCCACTGCACCCCCTACAAAATCCATCTATGATTATATGGTATTTAAACAATTATATTAAAGCAACCACAGGAAATTTTTCACAAATTCAAAAACCCTTCAAACTAGTCCAAACTTTCTCCAAATTATGGTCAAAAAGCTTCTCTCTCATCAAAAATGTTACTTTCGATCGATAAAAACATGTTTATAGTGTCCCTTAGTGCCCCTGCTTTAATACATTCCGTCTCAACTACATTATATTGAGTACATGTGTCAGCCTCCAGTAGGGGTGCAGCCACCCCAGCTGTTCAGCTAAACTCAATCTTCTCTGCAAAAACGGACCCAAGAGAAAATCCTGAAAAAAACCCTGCTGTTTTATGACAACAACCCTGCTGTTTCATTACAAATACTAGTAGAAAGGGCAACCACAGGAAATTTTTCACAAATTCAAAAACCCCAACCTCGTATCCAGGGTCTTCTCCCTCAGGGCACGAGGTTACATAAACCCCTCAACTAGTCCAAACTTTCTCCAAAGGTTGAAAACCTTTCCTTTCATCAAAACAATTACTTTCGATTGACAAAAACATGTCTTAAAAAATTTTGATCAAATGGACCATAGGTACCCTAGGTTTAGCAGAGGCGGGACCAAAGGAAATTTTTCAAAAATTCAAAACCATTCAAAAACTGCCTCAAACTAGTTCAGACTTTCTGAAAATTGTCGAAAACCTTTCCTTTCATCAAAGGAATTACTTTAGATCAATTTAAAAAATTTTGGACAAATGCAAAGGGGGGACCACAGAGGGACCCTAGGAAATTTATCACAGGAAATTTTTCAAAAATTCAAAACTTTCTCCAAATTGTTGAAAACCTTTCCTTTCATCAAAACAATTACTTTCGATCGATAAAAACATGTACGTTACTTTTAAAAAATTTTGGTCAAATGCAAAGGGAAATTTTTCACAAGAAATTTTCCACAGGAAATTAATTTCAAAAATTCAAAAACATCCAAAAACTGCCTCAAACAAGTCCAAGCGTTATGAAAATTGTCGAAATCCTTTCCTTTCATCAAAGGAATTTACTTTCGATCAATAAAAACAGTTTATAATTATTTGGGTGAAATGGAATTTAAGGGCGACCGCATTGAAGGAAAATTTTCATATCATCTTGTATAATAACACTTTCATTGCTAACAATACACAACTACTGTAATTGAAACTCACCTTTTCAAGTACTTCATCTGCAAATCCAATTGAACTATTTTACCACATCCAAAAATGACAATATACGTTGGACTTGATTGAATTGCAGCAGCCTAAAATGAGTAAGATTAACTGATAATTAGCTACAATGCTCCTAACTTTATTATATGTATTATTGACTAGGTGATTTTACTCATTAAGGGACCAGTGTGTCCTACTTATTTTTTTTAATTGTCTAATGCCAGACGATGCAGCTTAATGGGTTATGGGGAGAATATTGCAGAGTTATCCAGGGACAGTATACATTTAATTTAGTGGATAAATATCAAGATTTTGTTGCCACCTCACATGATTGAATACCGTAAACCTCCGACTATAAGCCCCAGGGGCTTATATTTTTTCGTAAGCGATTTTTGATGGGCTTATACAAGGGTGGGCTTATATATGGGGGGGGGGCTTACACATGGACGATCTTTTGTGTTAGTGTAATAGTGATAAACAAGTATAGTAATAGTGATAAACAAGTGTTAATCATAGTATAATTATAATACTGTAGTCATTAATAGTGGTAATAGTGATAAACATTAGTGATCATGAACAAGTGGGCTTATATTCGGGGGGAGGGGGGGCTTATATTTTTAATGAAGTGAGTGTTAGTACATGTGGTGGGCTTATACATGGGGGGGGGCTTATATTCGGGTGGGCTTATATTCGGAGGTTTACGGTAATAGTTGAAGGCTTAAGTCACGGTCGTTGACCAGTACAAATACATGATTTCTAGTGCAGAGCTTTCCCATTGACGAGTAAAATCATCTGGTGTTAGACAAGTAAAAGAAATAAGTAGGGCACACTGGGATGCATATATACAGCTCAAGGGGTTAACTAGAGACATTGTCAGATTTTTTGGTTAATTTAACCCATTAACCTGCAGAGCTTTCCCATTGACGAGTAAAATCATCTGGTGTTTAGACAAATAAAAGAAATAAGTAGGGCACACTGGGGCGCATAATGCAGTTCAATGGACTAACTAGAGACATTGTCAGATTTTTTGGTTAAACCATTACACTGCATAGCTTTCCCATTGATGAGTAAAATCGTCTGGTGTTAGACAAGTAAAGTTGCCAGCAACAGAACACCGCATTTGACTGTAATGACACTGTAGTTTGTATTTTAGTTCGATACAATTTGTGTTGTATATACCATGTAGCTTAATAATAAATAGTACAAAAACTCCGGGCCCCCAGGCAAAATTGTGGCACCCCCTTGGAAAAATACACGAAAAGTACATTATAGTTTTATTTCTTGCTATGTAAATTTATGACTTGTTATGTTTCAAATATATAATATTAAATGATAATTTTAGATGCCGTTTAAAAGGCCGTTTTGTGCATCAGTTCTGCTCATATAAACAAAGGACGGGGGGAACCCCCAGATGTTTACATTGCCCAAATTTTGAATCTTTCCAACTTTTTTGAATTGAAACGTAGAGTTTATATTCATTTACAAGCATAGCGAACCAGAAAAGTGTTAGACTATTCAGTTATATTCATTTACAAGCATAGCGAACCAGAAAAGTGTTAGATATTCATATTGTATAGCAGTTCAAAATGTAAACAAAACGTTTGTTTACATCGGGACTTTAAATATACAGACCTTTAAATTAATTGTGAAACAAATGTATTAAAATGGTGTTTCCAAGTCGTATAATTCTGACAAAAAGAAAATACTTATAGGCATTTACCTAAAGTTCATGTCTACAAGCTGACTCGAGTCACTCGACCGAAGTATAGCTTCGAGACTAGAGCTTTAAACTAAAAAATATTACCGAAAACCCTTTAAAAACTTACCATTAAGACAGGCTGTTCTTTCATTCAAGCGTTGTCTCTTTATCCATGGTCGAATTACCAGTAGATTTTTTTATAAACCAGTACAGCGATATAGTGCAAATATTTCGGGCCGTCTTTCACAACAAATAACATCACAATATAAAGTCAATGCACGTATTTTTCTCTTTACTACAGAATCGTTTTCCCTTTCCATTGAGTTAAAAGTTCCAAAACTAACCAGTCGTTAGTTAATAAGCGGGTATTTGTAAACAAAAATGCCCTTTGATGGCACGAAGTAACCAGCGCCATCTTCTCTTCTCCAAACATCACAAATTTTCCCGCCAAAAACTCTGTGGATGAAGCTGAAGTCCCGTATGAAATGACGTCACAGGCGTCATTGAGCATGCGCGGGAGGACTATATCATATTTGGTGTAAATATTTCAAAAATACGCACTAAATCCAATTTTAATCTCTTTCCCTTCGTTATTCTCGCTTTCCACATATTTTCTACTTAACCACGATTGCAACACAACAACTTTTGCCCACTAAACATTTTAAAATTAGCGAAAAATACTAAATATGAACTATTATTTCATCATTTATAGAAATTTTCTCTTCGGTAGAACATCGGGAAATCCGAAGTTGTCCGAGCCACTGGGCCGTAGACTGGGCTGTATACAGCACTGGATGTCTGGCTGTTTTTCACGTAAAGATATTACTTCATGTAACAAAGCTTGTTCTGGCTCGAACAATATGGCCGCTCAATTTTTCAAAAAAATCATACCAACAAAACTTCAGTTCTTCTCAGCTCATTTTTCTTCTTTTTGTCATTGTTCCCTTTTTTAAGAAGTGTAAAAAGGTCTAAAAATGGGCCTGATAAGGTGGGTTAAGATAAACCATAGTTAAGAAATTAATATCATAATTTATTGATATTTATGATTTGCTGTGTTGGTCGTTGGTGTAGTGTCAGTGCCGTAGCCAGAACGATAATTGAGGGGGCACATAATCATATATTCGTGTTTACATACCATAAAAACAATTGATTTCAAAAGAAATCAATAAAGCAGAACACGAATATATGAATATGTGCCCCCTCAATTATCGTTCTGGCTATGGCACTGTGTAGTGTACTCAGGTGAATCTGTCAATATGATGTTTGTGATGTTACTCTGAGTGTATATCCAGTTATCCACACAAGGCAGGCTTGAAAAATATGCCTGGCCACGGTGGGAATCTACGACCCTGACTGGAACGTTTGGAAATTGCGCAGGGGAGATTTTGAAAATTTAATAGGAGCTTCTAGTCCTGGGCTAGGATACATTTTGATTTATGTGCATGGAGAAAGCGGCGGACAAAGCTACAGTTTGGTCGGACACCAATTCACTCGGGTCGGACAAACAATAAACCTCAGTTTCACTTAGGTCGGACAGAATGTCCGGTGGTTTCCTCTCTACGTTGGACAATTTGACGAATGGGTCGGACAATGTCCGTGACTGACCGATATTTTAAGGTCTGGTAGGAGACAAGCAAAACTACATGTAAAAGGGGAAAAAAATAAAAACACGTCTTCCTGTTGTATTTCAGTCAAAGATATTGCCCAATTTAACATTAGTCAAGGACTTGAGCAAAACACTAATTTGACTGCTCTAATGAAAAGGGCTTTGATGGGTTTTCTCCCTCTAAACAACCAATTCTCCCACCAAATTAAGTGTTTAAATGGGTTGTTCCAGAAAAGATTCACCCCACAGAGAAAATTTCTGCCGTCCAGAGGGGGAGGGCAGACAAAATTGTTTCTGATAATAGTAAATGTATTAGGACATCTGAAGGGGTTAGGGGGATTAACTTCCTATTTCCTCTGTGGGGGTGGTATGGATGTTTTCTGGAATGCCCCAATAAGAATTCGCCCTATATATCAGTCGCTAAGGTTGGCAGGTCTGTGACTCTGCTTATCTAGCAATATTAGCGATAATATTCGGAATATATAATATAATACTGGGAATTGGGCTAGAACATATACCGGGAAATGAGATTGATAAAAAAGGTCGGGTTGGAGGGAATGTGATCTATAGCTCCTAACCCGCTTCTGCCCCTCTAAGTCATAATTACTATCTTAAAACTATGGCTGCCCCCATCTCCTAATCCAACCGGCACTCCCTCCCTCGAATTATAATAAATGAACTTTCGCAAGAATATGTCATGAAAGTACAAACATTACTTTTTTGGGAACTACTTTACAGTACATGTTCTGGGAATTCAACCCGGAAACGAACGAGTACTGTGTCTTTGCAATCAGTGACCCTTTTTATCAACAAATTGTTCAACAAAAGGTGTATTTATCTTAAACTTGAAACCTGAAAATATTTCAAATATTTTCAAATTTTTTAAAAATGAAAAAGTAGCCAAAAAGGGACGAAAAGTTAAGGCTGCCTTACATTTTTGCCATTTTTTGCCCCTTTTTCAAAAATGAAAAAGTGGCTAAAAATGGACGAAATATTATAACCATTACTTTTTTGCCCCTTTTTTAAAAATGAAAAAGAGATCGATAAAAAATAGTAAAAACGTGCTCTATTATTACTAGTGTCACTAGTAAGGCTAACCCCCTTTCCTTTGTCACCATTTTTGGTCACTCTTTGCAAAATTGAAAAAGTGGCGAAAATGGCCAAAACGTTAACATTTTTTAAAATCAACATTAATTACTTGCTCATCCAAAGATATTATTCATTACCAAGAAGAACTGTTACGAATCAATATTAAAATATGAATTTGACTAATTTGACTACTTATTTGGAATAAAACACAAAACAATAGACACTCCAAAAATTGTAAACATTTTAATTCTTTACGTTTCGACTATAATTTAAGTCATCTTCAGAAGAATGCCACGTATTTCGAAAAGCCAACTATTTATAAGCTAGATGCTTGCGTGCATCTAGCTTATAGTTGGCTTTTCGAAATACGTGGCATTCTTCTGAAGATGACTTAAATTATAGTCCAAACGTAAAGAATTAAAATGTTTACAATTTTTGGAGTGTCTATTGTTTTGTGTTTTATTAAAATACTCTATGGCAACCGCAAATATTTGGAATAGTTTCTATTTGTTTGCGTTGATAAAAAATATGACCCATTACTCATACCAAACCTCGAAATTGGAACTTTGTAATCTAGTAGTTCGCGGAGAAACCCAGAAAGGAGCGAAATAGCTCTGCCTTAAGGCCTCGGTATATATAGAAGCCAGGCTGGCCTGCTAAGCGAGACAGCCCGGTAAGCGAGATCTCGCTGTGTAGTTATTTTTATAGTAAAAATGATCGTGCGTTTATATGGACAAGCGGGCTGTGAGCCTGGTTGCCTGGATAGATATCTGTCAAAACCATATCAAAACAACAAAATTGTCCCGGCAAGCGGAATGAAATGTTCTCATGTCAACACAAGGAGAATTCATCCCGCTTACTGCGCTTCTCTCGCTAAGCAGGCCAGCCCGGTTTCCATATAAACAAGCCTCATGTCCAATCATAGGTTGAATACTCACTCAACTTCCCAGATCATCTAATATAATATTTTTTTGTGTGTTTTGGTGATATGTACTCAGGTGAATATCACACCGGGCAGGCTGAAAAGTTCGCCTGACCACAGTGGGAATCAAACCCGCAACCTTTGCGATATTGGCAGAGCATTGGACTAGTATATCCCAGAGGTCGCAGATTCGATTCCCACCGTGGTCAGGCTAATTTTTCAGTTTGCTCGGTGTGGATATACACTCAGAGTAACATCAAAAACATCATCTAATATATATGCTTATTTTTCACCCTGCTCGGTTTCCTTTGTTCTTATCGAGGAATATATTCAATATTCCCCTCTAATCAATTTCCCTCTAATAATCCCTTCTAATATTCACCTGCAATTAATAATCCCCTCTAATATTCACCTGTAATGTCTTTGCAGCACAAAAAATGAGAAAAAAACAACATAATGAAGGCAATATGGCATTACGAATTATTTCTATTCTGACTCATTAACGCGACCTCATAATGTGAAAAATAAGTACGTTATTTTGAGGCACCTGGGGGATATATGTTTATTCACCTCGGTGAATAAATCACATATCCCCTCGTTGCCTCAAAATAACCTATACAGAGGAGGAAGCGAAGCACTAGAACATTTGAACTGCTGTACTAAGAAGTGCATTTATCGAGGGCAGGGAACTGGCGTCACCAACATCATCGACATCAAATGCGCATGCTCCACCAAACAAGTTGTCCACATTGCCTCCCATTTCCGCGTCATCGTCATAGGGGAATGGGGCAAAGTGTTCGTGAGTCATACTTTCTGACGTGTTTCCGTCCGGGTAGAATATCATGGAGGACTGGGGTGGATGTTGTGTTTTGTTATAGTTGACATGTGGTGGAATTAGAGGGTAGGGTGGGATAAGTGTTGATTCGTGTGGTTGTTTGTGGGGTTGGTTGAAGGTCGAGTAAGCACTGTTTGAAACTTGCGTCTAGAAACAAAACACCTTTAGAAAACTAAACAAACTTTGTGTACGACTGGTATAATTGTATCAGTTCTAAACTGTTCTCTCTGGAGGTCCAATCTTTAAAGTGCACCTGACCTCAATTATTTTTTATTATTTCATTCTTAATAACTTCTGAAATGATATAACAACTTATTTTGAAGATTTTCGTTTGCTCACTTTGTTCCTGAGATATTTCAGTTTGTTTGGTATGCAAATATTAGGACTTTACGTCACAAATGCATAATCTTTAAAGTACAAGCTTGCGTATCGTATTCACTATGAGTTTAATTCATTAAAATGAAGTTTGGCATGGAGTTGTGGAAGGATTACATATACCTATGTAAAACACCATTTAGCCTTTATATTTCATGATATTTAACTGCACCTTACATTCTTTGATCAGTCATTATCCATATGTGACGTAAATTGCGGACATTCGCATATCAATAAAACTGAAATAACTCGTGAAGGACAAAGTATCTTCAAAGCTAGTATCGTAGTAAAAATCTTCAAAATAAGTTGCAATATCATTTCAAAGGTTCTTAAGAATGAGATGTTAAAAGAATTGGGATTAGCTGCACTTTAAAGGTCTAGTGTACATGCACTATGCATTTTTCTCCGAAATCCTTTAGACCATACCTGTTGCATGACGGGATATCTATTAGCCACGTGACTAAATGCGTAATGCTCCTGATCATGAAACACTTCATCGTAATCCGCTGACCCAGAGGACGAGGGATTCACCCCACAATTTCGGAAATGTTGACTCACTAAATCATCAATGTCTTCGGGGCTTGGTTGAACCGCGACAGACCGCTTTATCCCTTCATATCCATAAACGTCCGTGATCTCTCCTGTAGGTTGCTGGTCTGAGTAATACCAGGCCACGCCAGCAGAGGTCTGCCCGTTTTGCAGGTTATATAGAGGTGAGACAGGTGGAGTCAACGCTGCTGTTCCCGGGGAATGATCTTTATAGTTACTCCCTTCGTCCACCTTAAAATAGGATAAAAGATGATATGGTATGATACTAGAAAATACATGCATGCAGAAACCACGCCTTACTGACAAAACTATTATGTTTTCCGAACATGAAGTAGTTGTCATGGATCAACGTGAAATTCCGCCATGTTTTGGCGACACTTGTTTGACTGAAGAGAGATAGAAGCACCTCCAGTAATACAGTAAAGCTCAGTGACGATGAACCATAGCCATGCGCCCGCGATTATTGATGAACTTTAGCCTTCGCTAGTGCGTTCCTTTCCCCGGGTTTAAATAGCCGAGCGGAATTATGCCCCAGGCTTACGCCTGGAACGGCTCGGGGATTATATGGTATGGTATAGTATTAAGTTTGGTGTGGTAGGGTATGGTTTGTAAGGTAAAGCCAGCCAAACCTTTTGCACTAGTTTTCCAACACATGACGGTTATTGAAGGGCATTCATGTTTTCAACGAGTTCACTCACCTTTCGTTTCCGCTTTCGGCCACTTTGCGACCATGAACACAGAGAACTTGGTTTTTGATTGGTGGATTTCTTTCTTTGAGTGGCGGGCTTTGAGTTGTGTTGAGGCTGAATGTCTGTTTTTGCCGCCTGGGTGGCAGAAACTGTAAACTTTGTTTTCATACTGAACGATGTCATGCGAATTGATTTGTTCATGTTTCCATCTAGAAAGAGTAGGAAACGTCAAAAATTTTACCATTTTCTGTTCTGTAACGCTTACAGAAACCAACAAAGATAACACCTAACAAAACTTGATGACTTTCACAAAGTACTGTCGTTCATCAGATAGTGCTCATTCATTGTGTACTGAAAGCAAAACATTTTGATGTAGAGGAATAAGCGTGCCACAAACCTTTCTTCAGACATTTGTCCAGATTTTCCTGTATGTTGTTTTCATAATCCTCGTTTAGTTTTGTTTCAATTGCAAGTAACATGTACTCGTCCATAAGCATACGTAACAGATGAAATGATCCTTTAACACAAGAGAAATGCATAGCCATCAGTCGAACTTCATTTATACTGGATAGCTCATCATTGCTAAACTTCAGTACGTTCATGTCCACCTTTTATTAGGCAAGTGTTACTACAGGCAAAACAAACCTAATTTATTGATACGGAGTATCAAAAACCTACCGAAACTTGTACAATTGTTCAACGTGAGATTATGCATGAGTCTTCCTCCAGTAAAAGACCACTGAAGTAAAAATTCTTGAGCTCTCGCTTTGAAGTTGCTTTCAGATTCCAGTTGAGGCTAGAAAGTGTCAGAATTACAACAATCATTTAAAACTACAAGGCGAAGTATTCAGACGCGACGAATTCTGAAAAGTATGTAAGGGAACATTCTTCTTTGCAATGTCATTTCCCACCTTCATTAGTCTTCGTTCAACAATTTTATCCATCCATTCGACGTAGTCCTCGACAGGAGCAGGTTTCTCCAGCAAAGTTCTCAACATATCTAAAACTGTACAGACAGATGAGGTTAGAATAACTTATATACTGCCGCAGGAATAATTAGAGCCTACATTAAAGACGAATCAGCATTCAAGGTAGTCTATCTGCGCAGTTCTTCACCAGGGTCTACATAGATGAGCATGCATGCCGTGGAGCTCGTTTCGACTAATATTATAGTTAATTAAATAGCAAAATATAAGAAATGTTCTATGCCAGTATAGATGACGCCATTCTAGCTCGTTTGTCTGGATAGTTTGTCTTGTGTTTGTACCAAGGCTTATGATACTTTAAGCCCAATTCCTCTCAGGAAAATTTTCCGCAGAAAGAAAATTTTGTAAAATGTGGTTGGCCGACACAAATTTTCCATCGGAAAAAAATTTTGAAGTTGAAAATGTTCAATTTTTAACAATGATATTTATGAAAATTTTCTGTCCGTGGAAATTTTTCTTGGAAATGAGCCTTTAGACGAATGATGCGTCTTGATGGATAACCTTCTCTAATATAAATCATTAGGGGCGTAGCCAGTCTTAAACGAGTGGTGGTACGCCCCCACCCCAGTTTCTCATCACATACCTTCTTTATCAATATCATTGCCCTTATTGAGTTCGTCGTACGATGTGAACATGGCCTCAGTTCCGAGACAACTTAAATCAACTTGCTCCAAGTCGCTGGCCATTTGCTCTGCCGTTTCATTGTCTTGAATCACAGGTCTTGCCGTCTGCAACAGTAATAGTAAGTTATAAAATGTTGGATTATAATGCTCGATAACTAAGATAAGACTTTTTGTGTTATTAATGACCAAGAAGAAGGCACTTCATCGTCAGTATTTAAAGACTACAATATATTGAAGTCTGTTAGTTTATAACTGTAGTTTTTGCCCACAGAAGATTACCGACAGGGGCAACTTACTTAACAAAGGCATACACTTCATATAATAACCACGCATTTACACGTACCTGAGCCAAATGAAGGAATGACGTTTGTCGTTTTACTGACAGTGCAAACTGACGAGTAACTAGAAATAAAACAACGTTAGTCTGACTACATTTAAAAATGACAATTCATGTTTTATGCAATATGTTTTACCTTGGAGTTTGCAGCAAACCAAGTACTCTGGAAATCCGTCCAGGGATGTCTTCACCCATTTTTCAATATGGCGGGCAAAACCTCTGACATCAGCTAACAAACTAAATAGACAAGATTATTATTACTCCAACTAAACTAACTCTATTTATACTGGATAACTTTATTAGTTCTAGACTGTTCTTCCTAGAGATTCAGTAAGGATCACTCTTATTGATCCAGTAACCTACAGGAGGAAACCTAAACTAAACTAACTTTTCCGAAACCTTATTTAAACTGGATAGCTCTATCAGTTCTAAACTGTTCATCCAAGAGGTCCAGTAAGGATCATCTCTTATTGATCCAGTATTACTGCAGGACGAAACCTAAACTAAGCTAACTTTATTTATACGGGATACCTCTATCAGTTCTGAACTGTTCTACTTAGAGGTCCAGTAAAGGAAACATACACTAGAAGGAAACATACAATAGCCAACCGAATACTGAACATCTCTATCACGTCTGAACTACTCATACTTACTCTTCAGGCATGTCTTGCATGGTGCTTGGGATTAAAACATCAATAAGAACCTACACATGAGAAGCAAACACAAGAACATTCAATGCTTTTGAATAATTCATTTGAAAATTCGTAATGAATAATTATAATAGCCTTACTTTGTACAAAATTGAGTCACATAAACAAATGAGGTTAGCGACGACTTCGACTTGTAAAATTGGCAGCAAATGATTTGGCATTCCTTGCCAGAAATGGTGTAGGAAACTTTTGATCTGGGGAGAATCAGAAAAATTTGGTATCTATTCTTGGGTTTCACTAAGTGTATCATGCAGCAGATACGGTGAGCAGATGAAGGGTAACTTGCACTTTTCAGAGTGAGAAAATAATATTAATTATTTCATTATATTTGGAAGTAACAGTTTGGAAATAAATAAGTTATTTGTAGGTTTGCATGGCAATAAAACATATAATACTTTTTTTTCCACAAACAAAAAGTATTATACAGGATGTCCCCAAAAAAACCAAAACTATTGAAATAACGTACATATTGTTAGAATTTGAATGCCCTAGCACTAAGCTGAACGCAAAGATGTGTAAAATATTGACAGGGTGCATATATTATAAATATTGTCTTATTAAGAAATATCTTTGTAAACTGACGCACGATTTTCTGCTCTTGGGAATTTAAAATTAAACAGTTTCTTTATGCACACAATTTACTAGTTATGTTAAGCTTAATTATGCACTTGTGGGTTCAGCAGAGTGTTGAGGCATTCAAATTCTAACAATACTCGTTATTTCAATAGTTTTGGGGTTTTTTTAAACACCCTGTAGTTCGGAAGTTGTCGACCATTATTAATTCCTAACGCTGTTTGAAATCCTCCAGTACTAATTGTAATTATGGTGAAGATGAAATGAATCAAATTTTTACCTCGTTGAAATTTGAGTTGATGGCTGTATCGAGAATGCATTGACAATGTGTTTTATACATGATGATCAATGTATCAACCTAGATACATAAATTAACACGTGTTAAATATATAAAACCGAAAATAACCATCCGGCTCGAAGGACCATTTCAGATCTTCTAAGATACCTTTTCAAGTGGCGCCAATTCCGGTAACTGTAGGATTTGGGGATTTGGAAAATCTGGTAACAATGTTCCAGTCCGAGAACTTGGAGAATATTTTCTGAGAAATGAACCCTAAGTAGAAAGAAACAAAATCTAAGACTCATAAACATACATACGAGGTCTTGTATAACTGATGTGAAGGTTGATAGCATTGTCGTTTTAGGTTTACCTTGCTTTTAATCTTCGTGCCTGAAAACCTGAAAAAAATTACAAAGAAAATGTTAAAACGAACGCGAGATTACATACATTTACTTTTTTTTACAAAAACTATGTGTGTACAAATTTTTAAATCGCTCGAAAGGGTTAGAGCTGCCAAACAAACCATGATACAAAAGTGAACAAACCTTGTCAATCCTTTGCCAGAATAAACGGAATGATAATAAGTCGAAGTTTCTTTGATTCCAATCCCGTAATAATGATACCTATGAAAAAAGATTATCAATGATTTGCTCTGTAATACAACACTGTATTTCCCAACAACAATGATATCGTATGTTCGTACTTTGAGTGTCCTCTCGTTCCCAATCGCCGGGTTGTTAGTTCGGGGAATTTTTGTCTGATTATCTAAAATAATATAGGAGAAAATGGAAACTTTATTTATATTCGATAGCTCTATCAGTTCTAAACCTTTTTCCCTACAGGACCAGTGTAAGGGTCATCTCTTATTGATTCAGTGTTACTACAGGAGGAAACCTAAAGTTTATTTATACTGGACAGATCTAAACAGTTCTCCCTAGAGGTCCAGTAAGGACCATCTCTTATTAATCCAGTGTTACTACAGGAGGAAATCTAAAGTTTATTTATATTGGACAGATCTAAACTGTTCTCCCTGGAGGTCCAGTAAGGGTCATCTCTTATTGATCCAGTGTTACTACAGGAGGAAACCTAAACTAAACTAACTTTATTTATACTGGATAGTTCTAACACTGTTCTCCCTAGAGGTCCAGCAAGGATCATCTCTTATTGATATGGTGTTACTACAGGAGGAAACATAAACTAAACTAACTTTATTTATACTGGAAAGTGGATAGATCTAAACTGTTCTCCCTAGCGGTCCAGTAAGGATCATCTCTTAATATTGATCCAGTGTTACTACAGGAGGAAACCTAAACTAAACTACCTTCGGTCTACCACGCACACATCTTACCTTGCCAAACGTGGCGGCACAGGCAGCCTCCAGTTTATGCGAACGACAGAAATCAAGATAGTGAGCGTAGAGGATACATCTTGGTAAACATACACCTTCGCACATCACGTAGTTCTCCTCGAGCCTAGAACAGAACTTCATATAGTTACGTTTCTACTTAACAATTAGATTACGAGCTCGAGATTTCTATGAGGGCGAAGCCCGAATCAACTATCACCTCATAGAAATCGAGAGTGAGTAATCCAATTGTTTCAGTGGAATCCCAAGTAAGCAATCAAGTTCGTAGCTCAGAAAACACCGCGAAAAAGTGCGCCTGCAAAATTATTGTTTTGTTACTCGCCATCTATTAAGAAATAGATAGCGAGTAGAGTATGTTTCTACTAAATATAGATAGATTTCGAAGGTGTTTGTGTAAATCGCACGACTTTGGACATCTCACGTGATAGAACTACTTGTTGAAAGGTTTTGCAGATGAAAATTTTGAGTGTGAATTTTATATATTTATTAGATCTAACCAGGAACAGTTGTGAAAAATGAAACTACAGTATAGCCCCTCTGGTAGGAATCCAACCTGCCGCCCTGCGATTCCAGTGTAGTGCTCTAACCAACTGAGCCAAAGAGTCCAGTTGTCAAGCTCTAACCAACTGAGCCAAAGAGTCCAGTTGTCGAGCTCTAACCAACTGAGCCGGAGAGTCCAGTTGTCGAGCTCTAACCAACTGAGCCAAAGAGTCCAGTTGTCGAGCTCTAACCAACTGAGCCGGAGAGTCCAGTTGTCGAGCTCTAACCAACTGAGCCAAAGAGTCCAGTTGTCGAGCTCTAACCAACTGAGCCGGAGAGTCCAGTTGTCGAGCTCTAACCAACTGAGCCAAAGAGTCCAGTTGTCGAGCTCTAACCAACTGAGCCAAAGAGTCCAGTTGTCGAGCTCTAACCAACTGAGCCAAAGAGTCCAGTTGTCAAGCTCTAACCAACTGAGCCAAAGAGTCCAGTTGTCAAGCTCTAACCAACTGAGCTACAGAGAGACAGTTGTCGAGCTCTAACCAACTGAGCCAAAGAGTCCAGTTGTCAAGCTCTAACCAACTGAGCTACAGAGAGACAGTTGTCAAGCTCTAACCAACTGAGCTACAGAGAGACAGTTGTCGAGCTCTAACCAACTGAGCTACAGAGAGACAGTTGTCAAGCTCTAACCAACTGAGCTACAGAGAGACAGTTGTCAAGCTCTAACCAACTGAGCTACAGAGAGACAGTTGTCAAGCTATAACCAACTGAGCTACAGAGAGACAGTTGTCGAGCTCTAACCAACTGAGCTACAGAGCGACAGTTGTCGAGCTCTAACCAACTGAGCTACAAAGCTACTGAGAGACAGTTGTCAAGCTGTAACCAACAGAGTCCAGTTGTCGAGCTCCAACCAGAAGTCGTGCAAATATTGAAGGGTAATCAACAGTAACGTTTATTGAGAGATTTAGTTCATTTTCCTACTTCTATAAGCTAGAGTACATGAGCTGTTCTGAGGTGACATATACTCAAGACAAGTACGCAGTCATAACTCACCAGCGCAATGTTTCATTACTTTGTGCTTTCCTGCTTTTCGTACATAACGTTCGTTCATTTGGATTTACTTTGAACTCAGGAGAATCATCAAAAAAATCTCCACCTTAAATTGAAGCAACAAAAATTCTGCGTTACGAAAATGCAGCTGGCGATGAGCAACTTTATATAGAATTCGTTAATTGGTAGGTATAATTGGAGACAAATTGACAATGTAACTAATTAAGTAAGATATCGAATGTAAATCGAAGCATAATTACTTTTCACCTGGTATATTGACCCTTCCAAGGTTAACCGCCATAATGAAACACAATAGTGCAAGGGGTGCAGACACAATGGAATTGCCTATAGGTAAATTTACAGGACGTGCAAACACAATAGTGAAAACAATAGATTCAAGATGGCATCCTTAACTTTGGAAGGGCCTATTGAAAGCCTTTTATATAATAGGTTAAAGTAGGAGATTGTAGAGTGTAGAGTGTAGAGTGCAGAGTACAGTTGATACCCCCATTATATAAACAGATATCTTGAAAGAGGGAGTTATGTTTTATTAACATTGGTACTGGAGGAGATTTGTGTCGAGGGGTGTGTGCCTGACGCTCATCGCAAGAAACCAGCGCACGAGCTCGCTGCGTGGTGTGCTTGAATCTGCATGAAAGTACTTGCAACAAGCTTGCGAGTTGACTCTTGCGATGAATGGAAAAGAGTCCTAGTTTAACCCGAGAGTTATCCTTTTATTACAGGGGCTCCGACTTTATAAATATGTTGGCTTGAAGCCCGTTTCAAAAAGTCAGGAATTTATTGTGGTCTGTTGAAGCCAATTTCTATTTACAAAAAGCCAATATAAATAACGGTAAGTAATTAAATAGCTAAGCTACATTTTACACGCCTCACTTCCTAAGGCTTAATATCAAAAATAATTAATTTTTCCTGCATGCATTATCGGGCTTGCCCGCTTAAAACCTGATTTTGTCTCTCAAATCTAGCACGAATAGGATTTTCAGGTTCTGATAACGAAATAGTCATCTGAAAAGCAATGATGAACTGTCTGCTTATACTACTTTTGGGCCGCGATTTCGCACTATGTATAATTTTCATTTCTGTACTTATTAAATACTAATTTCTCGTGAGTTGAAACCACTTACATAGACCTGATACAATTGCTTTTCTATATTCTCACCCTAAGACTGCCATCCGCAAATGAGATTTTGCAAAAATCTCTTCAGGAACGTAGAAAGCAAATATATTAGAGTTATATCTATAGAACTTAATTCTTTAGCGCGGTTTAAATGTGATCTTAATTCTTTCAGATATCTCATAAGACTTTAACACTACAAGATTAATGACATAATTTAAATGATGTATATTTTCAAAGCGACGTCAATGATATATAATGGACATTCAGGAATAATGTTATATTGAAACACACATATTTGAGTCAATGATAGAAATTTCTGAATGAGTCAGAAGGCTAATATTGGCTGTACATAGGCTACGTTTCCACAAAGGATAGCTTTTCGTGGGCGTAGCGATGCGACAAACCGCCTATATCCGATACGGAATGTACAACTTTCAGAAGCTGAGCGAAACAACATCTCTCCGTTGCAATAATTCCTCTGAAAACAGCGTTCCTAAAAGTTCCGGATAGATGTTTTTCACGTCGCTACGGAAAGCTATCTGGTCGGCGTAGCCATAGATTATTATAACGCCAGACGATATATTACGACTGTAAGAGAACCCTCAAACAGAAAATAGTCTTAAATAGAAAAACTGGTAAACTATAAAATTAATCATTGTGACCATTTCAATTCTTCAAAATTATCTCGTCCAAAAGCGCATTCACATTTGAAATGAAAATCATCTAAAATGAGGATTATTCAAATCAACCCGGACGGGAAAAGATTAGGGAGTTTAAGCTAAGAAAACTTGACATTGTACAAGAAATTCTTCTATGGTTTTGGCAAACAAAAGGCTCTTGACGTGAGATAAATGTTTATCAACATTCACTGCAGACTAGCAACAAAACTTGTTAAGATGAACTTGCTCGCCTGTATATACATGAAGAGCTTTTACTGTTCAGGCCGCTATAGCATAAAATATTTCTTTGCTCGGCGTTTGTGGCTTGACGTATAAACGCGCATTAACTTTCACACAGCGCGAACCAATCCGAATTTGCGGGATTTTGTCTTTTGAGTTCACGCGGGAATGACATTAGAAGCGGAGAATTTCGAGGAAAGCTGAGAATACCCGCGAGAATAAATGGCACCTGACGAATTTGTGTTCATACAGTTCCTGATTCGAGATCATGTGCATGTACGTATAGCGAGAAGGTGAGATGATACGAATGACATTGGACAAATGAAGAATACGAATGACATTGGACAAATGAACAAATACAATGTACATTTCCACTTTGTACAAACCTCCAGTCTCCTGCTGTGCCAGATCCGTTGTATTTCCAAAACAATTCTTCAATCCATTCATAGAAAAACTTCCCATCAATTGCGCGCCATCATCTTTGTATTCGTTTCCGCCACTTTCATAACGCATATATTTCGACTTAGATCCACCACAGTTCCTGCTCTTCGATCTTGTATTAGGCATCTCTTCAGAACACCTTTAAAAACATACAAAATTTAATTCTAGTTTGGAACCGTTAGGTTTACGGTTTGTTCGTCCCAAGAGCACTTGAAACGTCTAGTACCTGCAAAATTAGTGAGATATTTACGCCGTCTTCAATGCTAACACATGAGGAGACATGATGAATTTGGTTTCCTGTATACTCTGTTGCCTTGTAATCTTTGCCAGAGACAATTTCGCAATCGCTGGTTAGCTTTCTATGCTCTTCTCTTGAACTTAGTCAGTGCTTGAACTGTTTTAGTATTTTATTTGCTTAACCGCTAGATTGCTGACATATTTTACTAAATGGTTTCTCAATTAAATCCAGTCCCGTATGCTAACGAAGAACTCATTAGCATTCGTCATTAGTTCAGCTCGCCTACGCTCATATAAAAGCCGCCAATTATATAGTTAACATGTATTGAAACCCACTCGCAATATATATTTAATTTTCAGTCATTAGGGATTCCTTAATCCTAGTAAATCCGTTTTTAGTACAAACGGCTTTGTTTCCTTGGTGAATTAAAAACAACAATGAAACGAGACTTAGTTCATTTTGCATTTTCTATAATTAAAGCAAACACTCGATGTTCAAAGGCGCGCATTTTATTGCATTTTTCCATCAAAAAAACTGAAGTGAATTGTTTTACAAAGTTGTTGTTTGCGAACTGAAATGGAACTGAGATATTAAGTGAGTAGGCGGTGTCGTTGAATTCTGCATGTCGAATGTTGGCTGGAAATGCAATTGACGACAGTTGTAAACAATTTACACAGTCGCGAGTGGGAGTCATAAAGCAATATACAATGTGGCTACGTTTCCACTGTATCGGGGATAGCTTTCCGTAGCGATGTAAAAAAACCACCTATCCGTACCTTTTAGGAACGCTATTTTCAGAGAAATTATTGCGCAGGAGAGATGTTGTTTCGTGCAGCTTCTGAAAGTTGTACATTCCGTATCAGATTGGTGCTTTTTCGCGCTGCTAGGGAATTAGCTATCCGGAAAAGTCGGAACGCGGCGTCAAATTCCATAGAATATGCTGTTTTGAGGTCTTGTACATACCGGGAAGTTCAGTGGTCTCGCGGTGGTTCCTACAGGTGTCTGTCATCTGTGACATGGGCTTCATTCATTTGTCCGATTAATAAGTTCACCCCAGTCCCATGAGAAAAGAATGTTCCAGTTTATCTATCAAACGCTACGGATTTCGGAAGGCACACGTTCAGCAACTGATAGAGTCATCCAGGATGAATAAAGTTAGCTTAGTTCACGTTTCCTCCTGTAGGAACACTGGATCCATTTGAGATGATCCTTACTGGACCTCTAGGAAGAACAGTTTAGAAGTGTGATAGAGTTATCCAGTATGAATAAAGTTATTTTAGTTTAGGTTTTCTCCTGTAGTAACACTGGATCAATAAGAGATGATCCTTACTGGACCTCTAGGAAGAACAGTTTAGAACTGATAGAGTTATCCAGTACGAATAAAGTTATTTTAGATTAGGTTTTCTCCTGCAATAATACTGGATCCATGTAAGAGATGGTTCTTATTGGGACCATGGATAATAAAATAAATTTATTTTATATCCATGTTGGGACTCTAGCAGGGGGAACAGTTCAGAACTATCAAATATATACACCTAACCAGTCAATGAAAAAAGAACACAGAAGATATTTCCACTGCAATACGTCTTGTCGTTTATTACATGTATCATAAAGTTCTATTACAACAAATATCATTAATATCCTGCAGTCTATACTCAGAAGGTGGGTAGTGTTTTTCAAGCAATTTGATTGGTTGTTGAGCTCCGGATACCTTGCATTATTAACCTCCACTTCCGTGAATAATTGTCAAATATTCCTGAATCACAGGACATCGCCGTCTCTATTGTTCTTAAAAGAACTGGTCATTTTTACGAGGCATAAACCACGACAGCTTATTATACAGTAGACACTGGACAACCTACACTGGACAACCACGTTTGAGATATCTTTTTCACGTAGTTCAGACACAAACCACAGCAGCTTATTGTAGAATACTGAACCACAACGTTTGAGATATTTTCAGGTATTGTTCAGACACAAACCACGACAGCTTATTTCAGGACTGAAGTCGGGTGACGTTCAAAGTAAATCTTAAACCAACGTCCTGGAAAAGAACACCAGGGAAAATAACACCAAGTACTTTGATAGTGGAGCTGCTAATTTATGATGGCTGATCGCCTAATGCCATGGGGTTACACACGACAGTGGCCTGGGAACTGTCCACGTCATCCAGTTTGTGGTTACACACGACAGTGGCCTGGGAACTGTCCACGTCATCCAGTTTGGGGTTACACACGACAGTGGCCTGGGAACTGTCCACGTCATCCAGTTTGGGGTTACACACGACAGTGGCCTTGACGTCATCCAGCTGATGATAAATCTCGTCGTCTTTCGATTTGACTTTTGGATACGCGTAGGGAGGCTCAGTTATCTAGATTAGAAATTTCAGATTGGGTTGTTGATATAGAACAGTATAGTGATATGGTGTGGTATATGATATGATATGGCATGTATATGTGATATGATGTGATATAGTGTGGTATGGTATGATATGGTATGGCATGTGGTATGATGTGATATACATGTAGTGTGGTATGGTCTGATATGATATACGGTATGTGATATGATGTGATACAGTTATGATGTGATATGGTGTGGTATATATATGATATGATATGGTATGATACGATGTGGTATGATGAGGTGTGGTATGTGTTATGGTGTGGTATGATGTGTTATGGCATGGTATGGTATGATGAGCTGTTGTATGATGTGGCACTGTATATTATAGTATGGTGTGGTATGATGTGTTATGTACTATTTAAAACACGAGTAGGAGTGTTTTATCAGATATAAAACGGAGGCGCAGCCGAGCGTTTTATATCTGATAAAACACGGCAACGAGTGTTTTGAATAGCTTAAAATACGACTACAAAAGAATACTAATTAG